AGAATCGGCTTGGAGCAGGACTCGAACCCACAACTCCTGTTTACCATGCGGATGCCAGTTACATTACCCGAGCCTCCAGTCTGATCTCCTCTTCCAGACATATTTATATATTTGTAATCCAGTGGTTTGGCTTTACAGATTTATCGGATTTCGTGATGTTTGTTTATTCCGTGTAATTTTTTTTTACCTAATTTATATTTGCATTATCAAAATTCTGTTATTCCTGTCTAAAATTTATAAATGGCTGATTCTCCATTGCAATATCTAATGACATACAGTATAAAACTCAGAAACTGTTTCAGCAATTCTGTAGAAAAACATTAAACGTTCCAAACCATCTCCAAACAGTTGAGTTTGATAGGCAGTGATTTCTGACTCTCTTCAACTTGAATGATCATTTTTAAGATATCACTTTCACATACAATCAGTGAGACAAAGCAGTTTACAATTATAATTTAAATGAACTAAATAAAGTCATTCTATAAAATAATGCTTGAACCAAAACCATTTTCAAATGACTTGGTTCTGGATTCATTTCTATCAAATAGCCATAAAGGAAATGTTAAAATTTTTGTTGTTTATTGTATCTTGTAAGTTGGCAATAATGGTCTTAATGTATGTGTAGAGTAGCTTGACAGTGCATACACAATGGGCTGTGTTGATGAAATAAATATAATTTGTTGTTTCTGACATAAGTAACCATTGAAAGGGTATTTTCAATATTAAAATTTTAGTTTATTGGAAAAACATGATAATATTGATAACAATTGACTTGAAGATATTTTTTTAATTAATTTAAAAATGTTGAATAATATACATTTAATAATACACGAAAACTGTTTCTTTTTCAACCTCTGATGGTCCATAAAACAAAGACGAATGTAAATAACAATGAATTTATTGTCAAAAGTTAGGTACAAGCATGATTACTTTCCAAAATAATCACTGTGAAGATTGAAGCATTTGTCTATTTGTGGATGAGCTATGAAATCCCCCCTTCATAGAATGTAGCCATCAATGACTTGAAATGGGCTGTAATGTTGTTTTAAAGATTGTTATTGGTCTCAAATCTCTGCTCTCCTATCCATGTTTTCAGTTCAGGAAAGAGTGGAAATTGCTTGGCACTAAATCAGAGCTATACACTCGGTGTTTAAAAAATTCCAAGCTGAGTGGAAGTCTTCACACACCTTTAATGTGTGAAGACTTCCACCTTTTTTATATTGTATGGCTTCTATTGCAACAAGGTTTGGCCACCTGAGATTCCTCAAACCAAAATATGTTAAATACAACACACATCCAACAAGCACATGACATGATTGATGCAAAAAAAACACATATAAAGAAAACTATCATCTATTTTGACAGGTATTTCAGTTATTAAAGGAACTGTTGAAAAATAATATGTTGGTATCATCATCATCATCATGTATCATAAGTTTATTTACACTTATTTATGAGAACCGTAAACTTATTTTCTGACTAAATNATTTCATTTACTTAATGTAACTTTTAGCAAATATCTTTAGTAAACACATCTAATGTCACCATATTGTATTGATAGAACTACTGAAATAAGTTATTTTTTAAATGCCAAAATTTTTATTGCTGCATCAACAGAAATTTTGATTTATCATTGCTCAATTAGAATGGAAAACAATATCACAAATCACAAGAGCAATGAATAAAATTATACCTTAGTTCTTATTGTGCTATATTTTATTTTATTATATGATACTGTAAGCTACTATTTCATTATTGATTGACATTTTGCTTCTTTACCACTTGCATTATTATTATTATTTTTAAAAAGTTAAACAATCTTTGTTATACAAGAATTAGCAATTTCTAGTCTCATTTATACCAAATGTATTTTGTAGTTTTAAAAAAGGATACAGACATAGCAAACAGCCATTATTAGATGTGGCACTAATCCAATGTGTTCTCTCTTCCTTCCTCGAGGTTCTGTAGCTGTCCAGAATAGGGCATCCAGAATGTCTTGCCCGAAAGATGAGAACAGTTTATCTGCAATCTTACAAAATATAATTATTACATTATGATTTACCTACTTATATAAAATTACTAATTCAAAATTATTATTTAAATTTCAATAAACTGAGAATTAAATTTGTATTATTTTCAAAAAGTTTTGAATGTGCTAATTATAACACAAACATCTATAAGTTAAAATAATATGAGTTTAGAGTTTCATAAAAATCAACTTTTATGATTTAAATTGATAAATGATTACATAATGTACTTAATATAAAAAATCTTAATGTGATGGATTAAAATAATAAAATGCACAATAATGTGTAGAACTCTAGTTTGGTTTAATAAAAAAATTTAAAAATATTTTAAATGTATTTTATTTTATTTACTCTAATCCAGATTTTTCTAACAATAATATGATATTAATACTTAAAAGGGTCTCCCTATGCACTTTCAAGCAGTGTAGGAGGTGAATGATGAACATTTTCAACTACATTCATTATTCTGCTTCTGGTCCAACTAGAACTGCTTAACTTTGCAAATGCCTTAAGTGTCTGTAATGTTTTCAAATCTTTCAAATTATGGAACAACTACAGAATATTTGGTGCTTGGAAAAGTGCATATGTTAATCCTTTAAAGTATTGATTTAAGTTCCAGCTTTTGGAAATTGTATTTAATTTGGTATCAACTTGTCCACCTGTCACATGATGTAATTGAGATTAATCCAGTTTCATATAATGAACTTTTAATGATATGATTTCCAGAAAACATGTAGAATCTAGTTAAAAAAAAATTATAAATGGCTTAAGCTAGTCCTCAGGATGTATGTGAAATTGATAACATTAATATGTTATGGGCCAGATTTGTGAACATATCATTACTAAAAAGACATTTTATTTATGATGTTTGATGTTATAAAGATATTGTTATACTTTACAAATTTAACTTTGTTTTAATGCAAGTTATTCACAAAATATATCATTAATCTGTATCATTATTTTATGATACCTGCAAAGTTATCATTAATCATCATTTCAAGATGGTGCAAGAAATAGCTAATGGTCAGTAATGAAAATAAGCATTCATGCTTAATCAATTACTTAGCAATTCCTTAATGATGATAAAGATTTTAAAAAGTTATTAAATAATAATGATTTTTCAAAAAAGGTGATTAAATAAGATCACAATCACCTTTTTTGAAAAATCATTAATGTCTATATAAATATATAAATATCAACAACTTTGGTGATGTCTATATAAATATTTTCTAAGAGAGAGTGGACTATTCTAGTACATACTTGTGCTTATAAACTTAAAACTTTTTTACAGTGATGGTTTTCAATCCAATGTAGGAGGTAATGCTTTTATTTTTGAGTTTTTCAACAAATTAATAATGATCTAATCAAATTATATATTGTGTCAATATATTTTATGAATTTGATATTTCATTTAAATAAGCAAGTAATAATAAACAACAATAAAATCGGTTTATCTACGGTATAAATTACAAGTTTATTACAATAAAATCTCATTGTTTCAAAACAAGGGTCCAAAAAAATATAACTTTGAATTATCTGGATTTGAATTATTTGAAGTTTTCTTTCGGAATTAAAGATTTTTGTAATTTCAAATAAAATTATGACATTATCTTAAATAATTTCACCCATTCATTTACAAATGCATCAATATTACAAGTTATTACTTAGTAATTTAAGTTATTTTGAAAAAACTGTCACCTGGCATGTACTTAATGAAAACAATGAAAATGTAACCAAATTATATTCAAAGTAAGACCTGAAAATTAAGTACAAAAGAAGTTTTAGTGTTTCAATAAGAATTATCACAAATTTCATCTTGACTTTGAGATTACAAAAATCATGTGATCTGATGAAAATAAGCTGTATTAACAGCTAACAGCATATTTATAGCTGTTAGCTGTTAATATAGCTTATTTTCATCAGATCACATGATTGCACTATCATGAATACAGACATGTATTTAATGGACTTTGGAATTAGTGAATCAATAGACTTTTGCAAAACATGTCCAAAATAATTAAATATCAAAGAGATTTCTTCCATAAAAATAAAAAAATCTCTCTTCATTAACGTGTACAATGTCCTAATGACCTTGAACATACATTCAATAAATCAACAATGTATAATTGGTAAAACAGAAACTGCAACTTGGGAGTGGAAACTTTCTTATAAACATGTAACATGATGGAAGATTTCGAATTAAACATTATTATTGTGGATCACCAAACCAGAAAATGTCTTCGAATTTCTTTGTACTCATGTTTCAAATTATCTGAACTAAAATGTTGGCAAAATCCTATTCTCTTGGCAAGGGACTAGATTACATTGAATTGTGTGATACTTCAAATTATCCAATATTGAAATAACAAGGTTTTACTGTAAAAAATATTCTAATTGATATTTAATACCTAAACTAGGACAAAATAATTCTTATATTGACATAGCTGTCATTAAATCATTTGATGTTTTGCATGTTTAATACGAAAATATGTTTTTATATATTTTAGTTATGTAAGAAAAATCCAAAACTTATATTTACCTCTAACATATTAAAAAATATATATAATTTGATGACGGACTGACTTTTTACAATATGATATAACATGGACGTGTCAACATATGTCATGAGAAAACTGACTGTTATCAAAATTATTCCTCTCAATAAATCACAGATTTCTGCTGGTTGTAACACATTTTCTTTTTCATTACTGTCATTTCTTCGAAATAATGATCTGTATAAAGAAAAATAAAATCTGTTAAAAATATAAAAAGAAAATAAACAAGTAAAATGGCAAAGCCATTTTTGGGATGAGACTATGTCTCAGAGACTCAGGGCTTGTTCATATAATTGCTGACAACTGGGAACACAATGTTCACATTTCAAACTTCCCAACACATGCCAGTTGCTACTTGTTTGTAAGTTCCATCTGAGGGCAACAGATGGTGCTAATAGTTCTAAATTGCATTTGCACTTGTTTATTGTTTCAGTTTGCGAGCAACACATGCACAAATCTCGCACTCATGCCTGTTTGTAGAAACAGCCTCAGCATTTTGTATTTTATTTTGACCTGGTTCTTGGTCCTCTGACTACCTACAAGTCTGGTATATTTTATGTACATATGATTTGGGGCACCAAATACTCTCTGCCAAATTGCAACTCCTGACATGTACTCCTTCATAGCTCTAAGGTGTCCAGCCATTGACAGCAGTACGATTTTAGAGATGAGACATAGTCTTGTCAAATATGTAATAAAATTTTTTTTCCTAGGTTTGATTTACTGTATTGATTTTATACTGTATTTCTAGATCTATCATATTACATTAAATTGCATTTACATTAAATTATATTTAATGTAATGATAAAAACTGTTTAGTATAATTTTTAATAAGACATTTAATTTTTCTCAGAATTAATTATTTTTTAAATTTAAAACTACATTTTGTTTACAATATATTGTATTATTTCAATTTAAGAAATACTATAATTATTATCCAACTCTTTTCCTGGATAAAATTGTCTTTTTTTAATCAGAAGTAAGAACAGTTTTAAGAAGTTTATTAAAGAAAACTGAAGTACCATCTCTCCTCTTTACAATTACTTTTTAAGCAAGAAATGTTGGTCCAAGACATGTCCTCGTTTGAAACTTCATATGAACAATGAACATCACATAAATGTTCCTCTCTAAATTTCATGATTCTTACATTACAGAACATTAAAAACTAAGAAACTTTGTTTTTCTATTGACATAAATATGTTTTTAAAAAAGGTTAAATATCAATTAAAAAAGGCAGACAGTATATACACAATATATAAAATACAGAAGAAACTAAGACATCTTCCTTCACAGGGACAACCTTTTATTACAGGCTATGCCTCTGCAATAAGTTTTACAAGGTTCATTGATGATAAACCAACAATTGTAAAAAATATATACATACCTTCAATTAAAAAGGGAGATAGTATATTCATAATATATAACATACAGAAGAAACTTCTTAGTTTCTTCTGTATGTTATATATTATGTTTCTTCTAACTTCCTTTCCATTCTGTCCAATCAAAATCCGGTCTTTTTAAAACAGTTTTACATAATATTGCAGAGGCATAACCTTGACTGAATTGTTATCTCTGCAAAGGAAGACTTAGTTCCTAATAGTAATTGGACAGGATGGAAAGGAAGCAGTCTTCGTTTATTCTGTATATTATAAGGTTAAATATGTTATGTTTTTAAGGGATGAAAGTCAGCCTTCAAAGTTGGGTTTTTCAAACAGTAAGTTTTACAGAAACAGTTATCCAATTTTAATGAAATCAATTTGAAAACACTTCTTACAAAGAGTAATCAAAAAAATTTTTACTGATATCTAGAAACATTTTTATGGGACATGCCTATGAATTCTTCAAAACTCCTTATAAAAATTCCTTAAATTAATGAAACCAAACTTTTTGAAGAAAATATATGTTGAACAGATCAAAATTAAGTTTATGCATATAAATTTACGTGCATTTTTTGTGTGTTCAACACATTAATATCAATATGGCTATAAAATACTTACAATTTATACAACATTTTGAAACAATTAAAGCAGAAGTAAAAGGAAAAAACCATCTATAAATCCAAAGCAATCAATAATGCAATTCTGAAAATTTTGCACAAAAGACATTTTATTTGCACACATTTTTAATCTCTGCTTATTTGATATTCCCATCATTAATGAATTCATCCCATTTCATTATATAAAAATTTACTTTGATATTTGGTGCACATGAAATAGTAAAGTAAAAGATCATAAATAATAATAATAATATCTAACCATGTAAGTAAATACTGTTCAATTTATCAAATTTTTCAAACTAAATATAAAAAAAGCAACATAATAAACAAAATACCTTACCTGAACATAATTTTAAGGGAACGAGTAAGAAGAAACCATACTGATAAAGCAAATCGAAGTGGCAAAAATGTGAATATGAAGAGAAATGCATCAATACACTGGAAAAATCCATACCATATAAACTGAAAATATGTAAATTAACATTAATAAACAGCTATTAAAACAATGTAACTGAAAAATAAACATACCAACATCAAAAATCCAGCAATATAAAACTTTAAAACATTTGTTTGTCTATTAAACAATTATCATCAGGTCCTAACCTGCAACATTTTAAAGATTAAAACCTGATAATGACCATTAAAGTGTTTATGTTGCTAGATTTTTGATGTTGATGTGTTGATTCTTAACTATTTTTTTTAATTAATATTAATTATCATGTGGTAAATGTCAATAAACACAGGCAATTCTTGACATTCAGAAGCAATGTGTTTCTAAAAATGTATATGAAGGTCAAATGTTCAAAAATCTAACAATAGAACTGCATTTACAAGTTCAATTATTGGTTATCATCATCTACCTAATATACTAGACCTATTATACCAGTTATAAAGAAATTACGGCATTGACATGATAACTTGCTGAATACATTGTAATTTCTTTATGACTGGTGTAATATGTCTAGTAACTTATTTGTGACCTTTCGGGTCGGCACCTCTTTGGTACCCTGTCAGGATTGACACCACTGTGTTTCTCGAAACACGGAAACTGAGACGGCTATTACGTCACGCCGTCGAGCGAGCGGTCCCGTACTTGATCAGACGGATTCGTAATGTCGATTCGAGAGACAACATTGGAAGTGACTCAGATACACTTAACAATTAACAAGGGTTTATTTAAAAATCTATCGGAAAAAGGATTGTCGCGGAGAGAGAGAGTTCACATACGATTCGCGGGATGATAAATACCTTTGATAATAGGTCCCGGTCGGGTCTTGTTGAATCGGAGAATAAGAGCTTCCTATGGGTTTTTCAGGATGTATCCAGTTCTGATGGGTATTTTAGTTATCCAGGCGATCATGCACTAACACACACACACAGAAAAGTTTATCCTATGGCGATTAATTCGAATTAATTAATGGATGATAATTGAAGGGAGGACGACTTCTTTACTTTCCGAGGACTAAGGCAGCGACTAACTCTTTTCGGCCGTCTCTGATGATATTCACGGACGATTTCGGCCGTGCAGAGGTTAATAGTTCACGAGAAAGTGTCATGTTGTTTTCGAGAAAATGTAATGGGAGACTTTCTCAGGTAGCTAAGAACAACAATTGTTGCGTAATTCGCGAAATGTTATTATTAAAGAGTATTTCTAATATAAGAAGTTCTGCTATCTAACATATTTATGGCAATGATAATAGCCAATAATAGAATCTGTAAACAAATAACTAGACATTAAGCAATTGCAAGAAACAGAACTATCAATACATGTTATAAAAGGGATACAAAGATAAAAGAAAAAAATTACAAAATCTCTAATTAATTAATAAAGTTTCAGCTTTTTACAGTGAATACATTACAATTTATAAAAAACTAGCTTACCCGTCGTGCATTGCTACGATCTCAGAAAAAATGAAATTCAAGCCAACTTCATTATAATAAAATTCAATTTACATTTTATCATTTTTATTGAAACTTATTACAGTATTATTATTCATTTTCATTGGGAAAACATTTCAAAGTGTCATTTCAATTCTATTTATTTATTGGAGTGTTTGTGGATACACAATATTTTTTGTTTTTCCGTCTGGTGCGTACAC